TCACATCCTTCTAGTTGCTGTACGTGGGACTCGGCCTCGGGTTGGACGGAGAAGTGGTGCCTTGGGGCGTGCCTGGGATCCGAACCCGGGCCGCCAGCATCAGAGCACGCGCACCTAACCGCTAAGCCACGGAGCCGGCCCTCCCATTCTCTTTTAAATCCACTTTCATTAGATTTGCTCTACCTAAACTGCTCTGGTCAAAGTCAACAATGATCTCCACAATGCCAATTCCAATGGTTCATTTTTGTGTCTAACTTGACCGATCAGCAGCACCTGATACAAATGATCACTCCTTCTTCCACGACACTCTTGCTTCACTTGGCTTCCAGGATCCTGCATTCTCTTGGTTTTGCTCCTATCTCCTTGTTTGCTCCTTTTCAGTCTCCTTTGCTGGTTCCTCCTCTTTTCCTCAACCTCTTAATTTGGGGTGTCCCAGGGATTACAAGGAATAACCTGGTCATGTACTTCTCTGTGTATATTCACTCCCTTGGTGATCTCACCTAGTCTCAAAGTTTTAAATACCATCGACATGCTAATGACTTCCAAATTTCTACCTCTAGCTCAAACCTCTCTCCCGAATCTCAGACTCATATATCCATCTGCTTACTCAATATCTCCACTTGATATCTAATACACATCTCAAGCTTGTTCCAAAATTGAACTTCTGTTGTTGCCCCAAACCTACTCTATGTACAGTCTTTCCCATCTCAGTAGATGGCAACTCTATCTTTCTAGTTGCTCAGGCCAAAACCATGGGAGTTATCCTAACCCCTGTCTTCTTTCACACCTCATATCCAATCTGTCAGGAAACCCTATTGGCTTGATCTTCAAAATATTTCCAGAATTCACTATTTCTCATCACTTGCATGGCACTCACTCAGATCTGATCCATCGTAACTCTTCTCTTGGACTACTACAGTGGCCTCTTAACTGGTCTTTACTTCCACTAATGCCCTTCTACAGTCTACTCCCCACACTTCATTTGGAGTGATTCTTTTAATACGTAAATCAGATCAAGTCATTCTTCTGCTCATATCTCCCAATGGCTCCCCTTATTACTCAAAAGTCAAAAGAATCCTTATAATGGTCTGCAAGGCTCTATGTGATGTGATCCTTCCATTACCTCTCTTAATCTGTCTACTCTGCCCTTTACTCATCTGTTCTATCCGTGTCAGCCTTCTGGCTGTTCCTTGCGCATCCCAAGCCAGCTCCTTGCTCAAGGCCTTTACATCAACTGTTCCTTCTGCCTAGAACATGTTTCCTCACTGCAGTAAGGTCCACCCAGACCACACTATTTAAAATTGAAAACGGGGGTGCTCCTCAGCCCCACAGTCCTAGTTCTCCTTTATTCTTTTCATAGCAACTTACTACCTTCTTTATTTTCTCCATGGTACTTAACACCTTCTCTATACTACAGAATGTACTTATGCCTTATCTTTATGGTTTATGGTCCACCTCTCCAGCTAGAATGTAAGTTCTACGAGGATAGATGTCTGTTTTGTTCACTGATGTATCCCAAGCACCTAGATCAGTGCTTGGCACACAGCAGGTCCTCAGTAAATATTTGTTGACTAAGAAAATGAATGGCTCACATAGGGCTACAGACTTACTGAAAACCTTAAAAATAGCTAGAGCTATAGAGTCTTGTAATTAGAAGAGACATGAAGCCTTATTTTTATTGATTGGGAAAAAATTTTAAAGAAAGGAAAAAAATGACTGATGGAGACAGCAGATGGACAATACCTGAAACAAGTCAGAGATTAACATTAAACCACTAATTTTTGGATGTTATATGGTTATGAATAGCACAAGTCTGGGATAATAGCCTTCCTGGTTGGAAGTCATCTGTCTCTTCTATCCATCATTAAGAACTGGAAGGGTGAATGTTTATTCTATTTGCTCACTTATTCATCCATTCCTTCTCTTATTGGACAAAATACTTATGGAGCCCCAGGTATGTAGCCAGCACTGTTCTAACTCTGAGGGAAGCAAGAAAGCCAGTCCCTGCCCTCAAGAAGCACTTGGTCTAGGGGGAGACCACAATTACATAAACAGGTAATTGCCACACACTGCGATAAGTATAGGCTCTGTGGCAAGAAAGGTGAACTGCGGAAGTCAGACTTTCCTGGATTCAAATCCCAGTTCAACTAAAAATTAGCTGCGTGAGCTTGAGCAAATTGTTTAGCCTCTCTGAGCCTCAGTTTCCTCATGTAAAGAATGGGTACAATAATATTATCTATTTTATGAGGTTGTTTTGAGGATTAAATGAGATCAAGTATTGTAAAGTAATTAGCACACTGTAACCACAAATTGCTTTTTATTAGTGGTAATATTATTACTAGAGGTTTGATCAGCAGAGTTTTATGGGCACATAGAGAACAAAGTAACTAATTCAACCTGGTGCAGTGAGAAAGATATTATTCTGCTTCTCCCAACTCAGACTAGACAATCTGCCCAGCAGGCCACCACAGTCAATTTTTACCCAGACAATAAAGGTCTTCATTCCATCAAAAACCTCATATGCTTTAATTTGAAACTATTTCCTCCAACGACTCATAGTAGATCAGCGTTAACCTCATATAACAATTAGCACTCAGTAAATTTTTAATAGCAATATAATAATCAACATATGTCATGTACAATTGCATATCTCAATTCACAGTTTATTTATTTGCATTAAGAAACCATTCTTGGGGGCTGGCCCAGTGGCGCAAGTGGTTAAGTGTGCGCGCTCCGCTGCAGCGGCCCAGGGTTCGCTGGTTCGGATCCCAGGCACGCACCGACGCACCGCTTGGCAAACCATGCTGTGGTGGCGTCCCATATAAAGGGGAGGAAGATGGCCACGGATGTTAGCCCAGGGCCAGTCTTCCTTGGCAAAAAGAGGAGGATTGGCAGATGTTAGCTCACGGCCGATCTTCCTCACAAAAAAAAGAAAAAGAAACTGTTCTTTGTATGCTTTGTCAGATCATCCTCCTTAGGTTCTCACAGTTTTAAAACCTTGAGTTATTCAAACTCATGTATAAGTCTCCAGCTGAATGTGCCAGTTACTATGGAAACAAGGTCACTGTGTGGGAGGAGCTTGAGGGAAGTGTATTCCTGGCACAGAATGAGCAGTGGACAGAAAGAAATGAAATTAGAGACATTCATTCGTGCCTGTACCACCATCCTCCAGCCACGACAGCATGACAAGAACGTGGAATGCCGTCTACAGTCAGTGCTCTGTGCACAAGTTGATGCAGTGTAGACAGAAAGAGAGACTAAGGCAACTACCCACAAGGAACTGTTTTCCCCCTGGGTTCCAGAAGCAACACCCTGGATCATGTTTCATCTTGTTTACTTATAAGAAAAATTCCCTCTCCTTTTACAATAGGGACATTTTTCCTGTCTGCCTCCTTTGGGTGGCTGCCCTTAAAAACAGCAGTTAGTGAAAAGTATCCATCAGAAGGCCTGCCCTGGAACCTCATTGCAAATACTGCTATCTATAAGGGAGGACAGAGTATAAGTTGGTGTCCCTCTTAAGTCTCGAAATCAGTGGTTCTCAAACCCTGGTGTGCATCAGAACCCCCTGGAAGGCTGGTTAAAATACAGTACCAGACCCCACCCCCAGAGTTTCTGCCCCAGTGGGTCTGGCATGCAACACAAGAATCAGCATTTTTAACAAGTGTGGGTGCCACACTTTTAGCAGCATCGATTCTAAAACTTAAAAATAAAACTCTAAAATCCTTAAAAATAAAGGAGTATTTCTTGAAAGACAAAGGACATCATGTCATGGCAAAGGCAGGCTTTTAGACATTCTACACAACTCTTAATAATATATTTTCACCATTTTTACAGTTGTAGCAAAACTATTGTTCTCTCTACTTCAAAACGTTCTACAACAGCATCTGACCTCATTAAATTTTATCAAATTCAGGATGCTGTCTTTTTCTTCTCCTTCTCCTGGTCTTACTACATGTTCCTTTTATCATTTTTCTCCACAGGTTCTCCCGATCCATTATTTCCCTCACACAGGACTTCAATGTTTAGCCCACATCCTATTTAAGCATCTACAACATTTTCCCATCACTTTTCCCCCTGACTTCTCTCTCCAGGGCGTGCACTCCCTGCAGAAGCAAAAAGTAGCCATGGGCAGTGCCCACAGTCTAGACACATGACTCAGGGGCAAATTTTCCCTCGTATATATTAGGAATACTTTTGAAAGTCCATCTTTTGAAATTATATTCTGCCGTGTAAGCAATCTATGGTTACTGAACTCAACCAAACCTCTCAAATTAAAACCACATTAATTGCCAAATAACATACTGAAAAACACTTTTAAATCACTGAAGCCTCTATAGCAGGAGTAGGCAAACTACAGCCTGTGGGCCAAATATGGCTGGGCAACTGTTTTTGTATGGCCTATGAGGGAAGAATGGTTTTTACATTTTTAAATGGTTGAAAAAAATCAAAAGAATAATATTTTGTGATATGTAAAAATTATATACATTATATTATATTATATTATATTATATTATATTATATTATATTATATTATATTATATACATTAAAATAACCACTCAATGGTAAGGATGTGGAGAAAAGGAAACCCTTGTGCACTGTTGGTAGGAATGTAAATTGGTGTACCTACTATGGAAAACAGTATGGAGGTTCTTCAAAAAATTAAAAATAGAACTACCATATGATCCAGCAATCTCACTTCTGGGTATTTATCCAAAGGAAAAGAAATCATTGTCCCAAAGAGATATCTACACTCCCCTGTTCATTGCGGTACTACTTATAATGGCCAGGACATGGAAACAACTTAAGTGTCCATCAACAGATGAATGGATAAAGAAAATGTGATATTTTATATATATATATATATATATATATATATATATATAATGGAATATTACTGAGCCATAAAAAAGAAGGAAATCCTGCCATTTGCTACAACATGGATGGACCTCAAGGGCATTATGCTAAGTTAAATAAGTCAGACAGAGAAAGACAAATACCATATGATCTCACTTATATGTGGAATCTAAAAAAAACCAAACTCAGAAACAGAGATGAGATTTGTGGTTGCCAGAGGCAGGAGGTGGGAAGTGGGGGAATTAGATGAAGGTGGTCAAAAGGTACAAACTTCCAATTATAAGATAAATAAGTTCTGGGGATGTAATGTACAACATGATCACTATAGTTATATATGTCAATTATATCTCAATAAAACTGGAAAAAATAAAATTAATAAAATAACCACTCTAAGGGGTGGGTGGACAGTGAAAGGGGTAAAGGGGCACATGTGTATGGTGATGGATAAAAACCAGACTATTGCCGGTGAACACGATGCAGTCTATACAGAAACTGAAATATAATAATGTACGCCTGAAACGTATACAATGTTATAAGCCAATATGACAATAAAATAATTTTTTTAAAAAATCTGAAAAAAAAATTAAATAACCACTCAAGAACCTGTTAATACTTGCATGTTAATCAACTTCATTAAAAAGCTATAACAACATGTTCCTGGACTTGAAATTAGATAAGTGTCATCTGTTTCATCATGAGGACTATATTATAAATCCCAAACACATTTGAGAAAGATCAGACTAAAATAATGGTTCCCTCAAGCACCTGTCTTTTTCCACGAACTTCTTGAAGTTCTTCTTATGAGGTGTGGGCACAAGGCCTATGCAGGAGCGAAGAGAATCCTCTTCAGAACCAAAGCCGGTATAAGGTGGAAATTTCCTTTCTATTTTTGGAGGAGGTGGGGCCTTGCATTGAATTGAAGTAAAGTTCTCTATAACAAAACAAAGGCAAATGAAACATCAATATTTTTTTTTTTGCCCTGATTATGGCTGTTTTGAAAGGTTTGTTATGTTTTCAAGATGAACATGGAGATCTTTCTAGACTATTTTAAACTCTTTCAAACAAAACACAGCAAAACCCTGTGAGGGTAGGTTTCAATCATGTTTACAAAAACCACAGAACTCACTCAATAATCGCCACTGGTTCAAAAGAAAGAAAAAAAAAGAAACTGTCTATGTCAAATAAGTAAACATTTATCTTTTGTCATCACATCCCCATTTCTGAATATTTTTTGTTCTTCCCTGATTTTTCCAATGACATGAAAATTCAAACTTGGAACTTTATGCCACTCATTCCATATTTTTACCTGTAATTTAGCCTTTTCCTATCCTTAGTCAATACTCACTAATCAAATTCCTTTCCAAACAGGACTGACTCCTGACTATTTTGCCTTTACCTTCCCCATCTGCTGTCCCCTCCGCCTACACCCGTTTTTAAGCCCTCTCCATTTCCTCCAACTCAACTCCAGGCCATGGCACTTCACTATCTAGTTAAAAAACAAAAACAAGGGGGCCGACCCGGTGGCGTAGTGGTTAAGTTCGTATACTCCGCTTCAGCGGCCCGGGGTTCACAGGTTTGGATCCCAAGCGCAGACCTACACACTGCTTCTCAAGCCATGCTGTGGCAGGCGTCCCACATACAAAGCAGAGGAAGATGAGCACAGATGTTAGCCCAGGGCTAATCTTACCCACAAAAAAAAAAAAAATCTTATCACCAACCACTGCTCCAGGCTGCTCTTCTTACTGCCCAAGAAAAGACAGCAATTGTACTAAAATGTGATGAAGCAAAAAAACAAAAATAAAAACAAACAAAACTTATAAAATAGCCACTGCCTACTTGTCTCAGAGGAGGTGTTAAGTGGTAAATACTGTTGATTTTCTTTATTTACTTATCATCTGTGAGGAAGGAGAGATGGAAAGAGAGCTGGGGACATAACAGCCTAGATGCTTCAGGTACCCATTTGTGAGGCTGTACAATCTCTGAGAAGCAAGTGTGCTCTCCAGAGCAAATAACACATTGACCCGATAGATCCAAGTCACTTGTGTTTGTCCCACCACAAATAGCAAAGAAGATGCCAGGATATTCCCTGAAACAAAACAAAACCAAACAAAACAGCCCATTGAATCTAATTTCTACTTCTTCCTCAAGCTTGAGTATCCCATAGGTGTTTCCATTTGTGACTGAAAGCAGTTCCACATAAGCAAAGATTCCCTTTTCCATTGTCAAAGTTCTAATAGATGGACGAGTACAGATTTAGTACACACTTCTATAATTGAAAATGTGCATCAATTTGTCATCCGCAGCAACCTAACTCTTAAAATTGAGGGATTTTTTTTACTGATTGATCAAAAAGCTAAGGTTTTGAGGCTATTTATAACTCTGATTTTAAAACATTTTCAGCTTTCACATTTCCTGAGACTTCCTAACAGCCTTTGTGTAAAATTCCCTCAAGCATAATCCCCAAAAGAGTATTGTTCCATCCTAACAGAAACTGCTCACAGAAGACATATTAGTAAAGAGAATGCCATCAAATATTTCTCACTGGCTCAGTGAAAGGAGGCAGCCAGACTGCCGGTACAGAAGTGACTCGTGAGCCTCTCCTATTATTTTTGTGGCAATTAAAGAGAAGCCTTGGAAACAAAGAGGAAAGTTCAAATCTTGGAATTAGGCAGAATTGCAGTAGACTCTATCATTGCTAACTATTACATGAAACACACCACTGATTGGTACCTTCATTTCAAGGGAAGGACCATAGGGATGGCAGAGAGAGCTCTATGTAATTAGTAGAAAATTGGGGCACGATCAATTTCTTCTAACAGGGGACATATACATACAATTCTACATACTAATCCGAGCAGTCCAACCAAAAGAGGACACATATTGAATCGCAAAGTAATTAAGAATGCATTCTACACCTCTCCCCAAAATTACAAGTTTTATAACAGTGTTGTTTTCTCAACTACATAATTTTTGCCACAGATTTAAGTAACAAAAGAACCAATTTAGAGCTTTCCTCTGCACCCACAGTGCCATCTAGTGTATAAAAGCCGAGAACTGTTCCACTCCATCAACGCCTGACTTTTATAACACCACATACATCTTTTTGGATACCCTGACTCAAGATCTCATTTCTCGGGGTAATTGCATACGTTCACAAAGCGTTAGACTTGCACCTGAATAAGCTTCCTGTCTTTGGTTTTCTATTATCCCAGCACCCTGCATGTTTCAGGTGTTAAGAAATATTTGATGAATAAATGAAAAAGTATACATTTTTGTACAAAGCACCTTCCCAAATATCTTCTTAAACTAACTCTCTGCTGGATCCTGAGACACATCTGTCTTTCAAACAGTCTGATTCTCCTAATTCCAAGTGACTCGTAAAAATATATATATTGCATGTCTATCCACAATTAACTAGATTCCAACAAATTTATAGAGAAGTGATATATATATATATTTTGTGTGTGTGTGAGGAAGATCAGCCCTGAGCTAACATCCATGCTAATCCTCCTCTTTTTGCTGAGGAAGACCAGCTCTGAGCTAACATCTATTGCCAATCCTCCTCCTTTTCTTTGCCCCAAAGCCCCAGTAGATAGCTGTTATGTCACAGTTGCACATCCTTCTAGTTGCTGTATGTGGAACACGGCCTCAGCATGGCCGGAGAAGCGGTGTGTCGGTGCGCGCCCGGGATCCGAACCCGGGCCACCAGTAGCGGAGCGCGCGCACTTAACCGCTAAGCCACGGGGCCGGCCGGAGAAGTGATATATTTTTAAAAGGAGTCTTAATGCTCCTTCACGGTGATTTACTATTCACTATCTCAGTTGGAAACAATTCTGGAAAAAGCCTTCAATCACCTCAAAGCTCATCTCGTATACTCTAGTAACTCAGATATGGACCCAGGTTCTGGAAGGCCTGAACCTTATATAATTTGGGAGAAGTTCTTCAAGACAAAGAAGCCAAATTAAGACAAAATTAGGCCCAAGGCCTTGGACCAGAGCCCCTGCAAAGGAAGAACCCTCAAGCTTAGGTTTCATTAACTTTATTAGCTTCAAGGTAAATCTACTTCTGCTTATATCCAATACCCAGGTCAAATGATTTTGGTGGGACATTCATTTTTTTGGTCAAATAATTAGTGAGTCACATAATTTTCTAGCTCTAGCTAGAAAAACCTTAGAAATCATCTAATCTTCAACTCTCTTCACTTCATAGGGGAGGAAAAAGATGCAAAACTGTTAGGTCCATTGAGGCCACTTGGTAAGACTGGAAGCAAATTCTACCCCTGTTGCTATACCTTGGGATGCCTAATTTGCTCAAATGATCACTAAACTCTCATCTTGGATGTCCTGCTGCTTCTAGCACCAAGAGTTCAGAGATGGCCAGAAATGACTCCACAAATTTAAAGGTGTTTTAAGTTTTTTCCTCATCCTTAACGTCAATACAGCCTAATAAATGTTCAAGAGCAATGGGAACGAATGGTCTTATTACTAGTTTGGTTGTCCCAGCCACTAAGAACAGATGAGAAGAAAGGCCTCTTATAGACAAAGAAATAATAACCCAAGGCAGGAATTCTAGGTAAGAACAGTTGACATTCAAATCCCTGTCCCTTCAGTGGAAGAAACACCTGCTGGAGCCCCTGGAACCTTTTCCAACCTTCATGCTACAGGAAAGTCCAACAGGCCTCCATCTGCCAGTCCATGTTCATCCAAATGAAATAATGAGGGAGTGACATGCTACAGCCCAGCAGGCAAGCCGAGGCCAGCGAGATGGCCAAGCTGCCTAGCGGGGAAGCCACACTGGACTGTTTTGTGGAAGAAGTCTACGGAATCGTCTTCTCCTTAGAATGCACGGAAGAATCTTATCTAAAATTAGGAGTCAGATTGGGTTTTACACGAGGGTACAAATACCTCTTGGAATTCTATCAAGCCCTCTGCTTCTACATAAACAGAAAGCTTATTCATGCACCTTTCTTAGGACTGTGGCCAACTCCTTGTCTTAGTCTGTCTACCATTTTTTCTCCCCTAAAATATGTTGGGGTGTCATTAGGTAAGAGAAGGTACTAAAGCACCATGGCTGCATACTGCATTAGAAATTTCCCCTGGCTTCCTCTTAGGGAGGTCCCTAGCTGTGTTGTTGGTACTTGTCAGCTCCTTCCTGTGGAGCTGCAGAGTGGAGACACCAGGTATTCTACTGACCACAAGTACTGACGAGGAAGGAAACGTGACCGCAATTATCGATGGGACTTTGTCCTGGTTTGGGCTTTAAGGATATCAAAATATAATGTATAAAATTTGGTCAGTCATGAATTTTTAGAGCCAGATGAATTATAAACAAAATTAAAATGTCAGAAGTAACTGTATCTAAGTAACATTAAGTATATTAATTTAACCTTACCAAAAAGTCTGGAAAAGCAAATGTAAAGATTATCAGAGAATACTGATTCATTCCCCCTTGTATCATGGATATAATTTCTAGTCACTAATTACATTATGTAGACTGTTGTTACACAAGAAATGTTGTGTAATAATAGTGTCTGTTAAATGGGCTATTTTAACATATGTTATGAGAAATATAAAAAGTCAGCATGACTATAAAATGCATCATAATTTTGCATTTGCATAATTTTCTGTTTAAATGCATAATGCTCATGTTACATTAGCTTTAAAGGCACAAACTACTTTTTTTTACATAATACAGTAAATCTATAAAGTGAACAAAAGAAGTGAGCAGAAAGAAATTAAGCACTGGGGCTCAAGTGAAATGGACCATGGGGCATCTGAAGCTGATACACTGGCCGAGGACGGCTGGATTTGGAGTGCACCAGTGAATTCACCCTGCCTCTGAAAGTCCCCGGCAAATCTGGTAAAAGAGTCTCTCCAGCACTACGTTCATTTTCCTAAATGCAACCTTTATATTCTCAAAATCAAGCAGACAGACAAACATCGACCACATATTGGACTTCACGTTTAAGGGATCATATGATGTTTTAGAACCTTCACTACCTCCTTTATATTAAGGTAATCTTTAAGTAGGACACAAGTCATACGGTATTTGACCTTCTCCCTCTGACTTCTTTCACTTTGCATCATGCCCTCAATGTCCATCCATGTTGTCACAAATGGCTGGATTTCATCGTTTCTTAGGGCTGAGTAGTATTCCATTGTGTATATATACCACAGCTTTTTTATCCA